TAGAAAACGCGTAACTAGCAATTTTATAAGCATTCGGGAGAGCGTTTTTGTGTGTGATATTTTGATGCTGTGGATTCAATTCAGAAGTAATAAGTAGAAATTGTGCACCAAGCGGAACACAAAGCAGTTCTCTTTTGAGCAATGTTAAGACTTGAAATAACTGGAAATATCTAGTCTTAACTACTGTGGATGGTTTTTGACATGGGAAGATGGTATTGAAACCCAAACAGCTGCAGAAAGAAGGTGTATCTGGACGAAAATGCGTATCTGATAGCATATATGTTTTTCAATTGTAGAAGGGTGCTCGGCAATGTCTCGTATATCGGCCAAAACAAGCATTCGCGCAGTTACACGTTATTGTACGCAGTTGCTAAGCTTCGTATTGGTGATTTGAACAGCCCCACGAAACCAGTGAAGGATGTCATGTCTCATTCATAAGCAATTCAGGGCCGGGGAACGTCTCTGCAAACGTTAACCATCTGCTGGGTGAAGAGCGTCAGGCATGGTGTCAGGCATATGTGCATGGCATTGGTGATGGCATGGCAGTTGTGACGGGACATGGACGGGACATACCCGTTGTGCGTGCCAGGGTGACGGTATGCTCTTGATGGTAAACAAAGATGGTTAAGACCGACGGTTACTGGATCTACTGGTTAAGACCAAGGCCATGTAGTAAGGTATGATCATCCGGGGATTTTTCCAGCACTTTCCCTTCACTATTACTGTGACGTCACAAAGCCACAGCCTGGCATCACCTCTCCGTCTGCATTATCTTCGCGTCTGCTACACCGGTGCACCTACTAACAAATGCTTCTGGTGATCGCCACAGGGTGCTTTAAGAAGTTTCATCAGGAAATATGTAAGGGAGATGTTTTTGCCACGCTGGGTGCGTGACAGCTAGGCCTAGGAACCCAGATCCTGTGTGCCACGGCACTCCCACTTGCTGAGGATGCCAAACATTGAGTCTATGGCGATGTACTGAATTCGGCCAGCCTACAGCTGCTTAAATGCAGGCTGGCGAGCCCGCCCAAGGTCCAGCCACTATCAAAGGGGGAACTAACCGGCACCAGAATCATCATCCGAACTGTCGCGCTGAACCTCAGCACTATATATAATGACGCGCCGGGTTGCTCTGGTGTGTGATGGACGCAGATTGAGACGACGGAAGTGGTGTGCTGCCTGCTAGAACATAGGACATTGTGGACATTGCACATTGCATCAATTATGACACGAAGCCTCCGAAGGTCGTGGCGCGTGGCGTTAATCAAGAAAATATCCGTTACGCCATGCAGCCAGTTCACCGCACACACGTATGACTCATAATTCACTGTATTTTACTAAAACGATTCTTGCGCCCAGCATACACTTCATTGTGCACACTTGGCGAGGACACAGAGCAAACAGGGAGGGGGGGGGGGGGGCGGAGAACACAAGTATATTTTTTTCCAGATTAAATCTAGGGTTATGCGACATGATAACCAGTCTGAAACAACCCAAACGTTTGTCTGCGGAGGAACCGTCTATGCCTCAAACAGACACACAAGCATGCAAGACAAAGATGACATGACGATGCTCACTTAAGGTCACTTACTTTTGTTCACATAAGCACAACGATGCTCACTTAACGCTGTCCACCTGACGTCGCACCTGTTTGGCTGCGCGCCTGGCAGCAGTCCGCTCAGCCCCAGCCTGATTAAGCCATCCGAGGCGCAGATGGATGCGCGTTGTCACCAGCTACCGAGCAATCCGCTTGTCCTGCGCAGAACTTTCTCAGCAGGAGCTTTGTGAGGCGGTCGACGATACCAATGTCTCAGTCCATGCCTCGCCCCATCAATACCTGGAACACGATCTTGTAAGCCTCGACAACGCTCGTCCAGGCCTGCAACGGTATCATCAGACCACCTTGGCTAATCGCGTGTGTCCACCTGTCTGGCACACAGCTGGATGGTGTCTCTCGGGTCGACAGTCCCATACTTGGATCGAGGTGTTTGCACTTTGCACCGCCACGAAGCCGGCAACGAGGGTCAGCGCCCCGTGCTGGATGTTGACCTCGTCCATCTCGTCGCCGCGGTGGGGGCCATTTTCGGCCCTATCGCTGTCACCGCCACGGAGCATGTCTTCGCCCGACTCGTTGACCCCGCCGTCCTCATCGAACCCGTTCGGGACGAGCACTGGAGGCCTCACGACTGTTTGCTGGTAGGCGGCCTTCGCGTTGTCCGCATGCTCTGGGACCTCTACCACAGCTGGATCTTAGATCTGTGACACAACGAAACACAGTCATTTCCACGTACCTAACAGGCGCATTAATCAGACTGTATTACAAGTCACCAGTGTTTGTTCTCATTGCGACAACAAAACGTGTTGGACCCGGACATGCCCTTTTTTGGGTTATCTCATGCTTGTTTTCATACACAACTACTTTTTGTGGTCCAGCGTAACATAATCCGAGCGGGTAAGAGGGACGGTCAATGACCGACGAGTACTGCACTGCGTGCACGACTCTCATATCTACCGCTCCTGGCCATAGCCACGGATTTGTCTGGATGGTCCCGTTTCATGGTCCCATTTCAGTGCATCGGTTGCCCCAGGGGGGTGGCGCCGCCATTACTGTTTTCGACGCAAAAATACACGAGAACATCGCGGCCCTCCGAGGCCCCCCCCCCCATCCATTCGTCTCTGCACGAGAGGTTGAAGGTCTATGGTTTAAGCACATCAGCATTTTTTTACCATGATATTACTGTATGTAATCCTTAGCTTTGGTGGCCATGCAAAAAGCTTTTGTTTGAAATCTCGAACACTAACATGGAGAGTGACACGAACAGTCCAAAAGTGGCTCATTAGTAATAAAGTTCGCATATAGGGGGGCGAACATGTACGGCACGCAGCTGAAAGCAATGTTCAAGGCACCAGGGCAAACCAACACGGGTAGCTCATTGATGCGCTAGGTGCTGTATTTATTAGCCGTTGGGGGGGGGGGGGGGACGGGGTTATTAGTCAGCTCACAGTGCGTAGATGTGTTGTCAATGGGGCTGGGACTCGCTCGTGCAAACTTGCCCTCCCCCGCCGCTAACCCTGGCTCCGCCCCTGACACCCATCCCCTTCGCCCGTGTAGCATAGATGGCTGTGCTACTTGTGTGGTAGCCAGGCCCCACTTTGTAAACAAGATAATGGTTGGAAAGTCTCGTTTGGAGATCGTATTGTAGTCTACAAACTGCACAGAGGGGCATAGATTGCGCATGCATCGAACTGTAAATCGGGTTGACAGATCTCTGCATAAAACAGACGGTAATTTTCCTTTTTAAGCACACACATACTCACATCGGCGTGCCGGCGATGTCCAGTTGCATGGAAGGAACTGCACTTGGTCGAAGGCATTTAACACTGGGTTTGGGACTGATCTTAACCAGATGGCCAGGGCCAGTCATGATGTTGAAAATGATCAGATCAGATTACCGCATTCGCCACATTTATAGTAACTCCAAGAGCAACGGCGCATTCACGTTTTCATGACAGTTGGATCGTTTTTTACAAATGTAAAAAACTAAAATGCCTTCATTGCGCCGTTTAATATTCTTACAAGAGGCCGCCTCACAGGATGGCATCTCGCTGCCAAAAAAACCGCCTTTGATGCTTACTATTGGCCAATGCTGGTGCACCACTTCGAATTTCTCCCACCCGCGACATAACAGCACGCACCGAGGCCACATAACAATACAAACTTGGTGCCACGACGCACAATAATAGACAATACCGACCACAGCACTTGTGCGCGACTGCCGTTTTCCAAACGGCGCAGTCGACGTTGCCATGCAACGCTGCTGCTCAACCCAGCGCGACTTTGCGACGCCACCGCCTAACGTTAAGGAGCCGCCCGTCTGACCAATTTCCCAAGCTGTGATGATGGCCCCCTGGTTAAGACTTACGGTATAAACACGCCGAAACTGCTATCTTGTAAGTGTATGGAAAAGATAGCAACGCACGTGTATGATCGCAGCACTTTCGCTGTGAAGATGCCCATATTTGTATCAATTTGGAAACAGCTTGGAGGAACATTTTCAAATGCCAAAAACGCTTGACTGCTCAATTCACAAGTTCCCAATGACAAAAACGCGTAACTACCCAATTGACAACGGCTCCTAATGACAAAAACACGTAACTGCTTCATTTACAACGGTTCCCGATGCTAAAAACGCGCAACTGCTCAATTTACGACGTTCCCCGACGGCAAAAATTTACAACGGTTCCCAATGACAAAACCGGCATAATTGCTCAATTTACGACGGTTCCTAATGACGAAAACGCGTAAATTCAAAGCTACGCTTTTGACACAACTGACGCTGAGCGTAGCTGACAAAATCGCGTTTATAAATGGATACGTGTTCTAGGCATTAAAGCCAGAGCGTGTGGGAACGTGTCAGTTACTAGTCTGTCTTTCGAAAACCCTACAGGCACTGCTTATACGCGAATCTACCAAGCATATATGCCTTTTCATTCTTTTCAAAATCATGAACAGACCTATCACTTGTTCAAAATATGCGGCTCATCGGGACGATTCTAATGATACAAACAGCTCAATTGCGAGAAAAATGTTAGTTACCTGTTCCTGAATTCAGGTGACAGAAAAACGCGGCTCGCGGGGTTTTGCTACCGCTTGGGCGCCGCACACACTACACCGGAGGAAAGGGCTTGCCCCCGAAGGCCGGTAAGCGAGAGAGACGGGAAGGTATAGCTATCTATTCTATTTCATTTATTTCATTATTTTTAAACTTACTTCGGCGTTTCGCGGACTGCCCATCACGGCAGGTCGGCGTCACAGCACCGATGCACGCCAATGAGCACTGCAATACGGGAACCGCGAGGAGACGAAGGTGGAGACAACACTGACCTGTTACTGGACTGCATGCTCACTCCGCCAATTTGATTCAGCCGTTGTGTCTGTTCATCCCGGACGAGGTGGCGGGCCGAGAGGCCAATACTAGCTTGGAAAAAATGGGCAAATCGCTAGCTTAATCTGATCGTATTTCTGCTCATGGGGGAACCTTAGGTTGTGGTTAAAGCAATCATGAAGCACTTGAGCGAAATGCAAAATGCAAGGCCGAACTGAGACAGACCCGAGACCACAGATACCACGACCAGACATGGTACACAACTAAAACGTCGAACTGTTGTGCGGGCGCAATTTGTGCTACGCATCCACCACACAGACAATTACAATCACGGGCTCAATTCTCAACTTCGCCTATCACAAGCGCGCACGCTGATTCTGACCGTCGCAGCCCCGTGGTCTAATGAACACTTCCGTACCGAAGCGAGCTGACGCCACGCACTGGACGCCACCCTGACCACAGCACCGACTTTCCACCCTGGATAGCCCTCGGGGCCCAGACTGGCCACATCCGCCGGCCATCATGGGGCGCCCTCAGGCCGCCTGAGTTCCCTGGCCGCCGCCGGCACGCTCATGACGTCCACTTGAGACAACGCGTCTCCTGATGTGTGTGCTGGCAGCGCACGCAGCAGAAGCGCGCGCCGCACTGCACACACGTGTAGTTGCTGGGGAAGCCGCAGACGGCGCAGAGGCGGCGCTCCGGTCGGTTGCTGGCCGGCGCCCGCGCCGAGCTGTAGCTGGGCGGCTGCGGCTCTGGCTGCTGCTGCTGCTGCTGCTGTTGTTGTTGCTGCTGTTGCTGTTGCTGTTGCTCCTCCTCGAGCAGTGACGAGAATGTCTTGCGGAACCTGCCGCGGTGGGAGGGGGCAAGGAGAGCGCGTCACGCCAGGCGGTTGGCATTAGAAGGGAAAGGGGCAGCGCGGCGTCGCAAGTCACACCTCAATAAGCGCTTGGTGAAGATTGCCGCCAACAAGGTACCGTGCCTCGACTCACGACACGAAGTGCGGCCCGCACTCTGCACAAAACTGTAGGCCGACTATAGTCTGATAATGTAGGCTAGCTAGCACACAAGTAAAAAATGAGTTGCATTTGATGAACGTCCACTACGTTGGCAACAATAATGCATTACACACCACACACCTCTGAAACCAGTACACATTCAGGGCCACTTTCGACCGTTGCATTGCCGAAAGCGACGTCTCAAACTGGCAAGCCAATGGAAGAAACAACTGAGAAGGCAGGATATAAGAATGTGTTTCTCGCAAGCACAAAATCCGCCAGATCTACCCCCCCCCCCCCCCCCATCCCCAGGAACCACTGCTATCCTTCCCCTGACCGTTGTTTGAAGTACTCGAAGCTGCGCGCCTTGCGCTTGCGGTCGGGGCGGGTCTTGCCATCCAGCGACTCCTCAAACTTGGGCGCTTTCTTGTGCATCACCAGGTTGGCGTGCGGGTCATCGTGAAAGTTGTCCTGCTCGAGCGCCTCGAGCGCCTTCCGTTGACGACGGCGGCGGGACGCCTCGTCCAGTACTACGTGCGACGCGGCCCGCGCGCGTGACGTCATCCTCTGGCCCGGTGGACACAGGAGGGACACGATCTGGCGTTCAGCAGTGCACTTACTTCTCCACCAACGGGAAGCTGATCTGATCCATTAAGTCGTCAATGCGAGCCTGCAACACGCATATGCCTTTAACACATATGGTGACACCCCTAGCGCTGTGGCCCCATTACAAAGGCTTACCTAATGTACTGATTTAACTACCACAATTTTTGATCCACCTCATGGTTGCATGCACTCCTTTATGAAACCGGCATTATACTCACATTGAACATGTCTTTGCAGTCACAAACATCAAGTTTTAGGAATGGGATAAAACTTAGCCCCTCTTCACTGCAACAGTGCAAAACTAAAATATGTAGTAGACAACATTTTTCTCAATGTTGCTGTTACAAGTAACCAAATGCTAACATACTTGTACCACTTCCATCACACAAGGCAGAGTTGCTTCAATATGTCCACCAAAAGTGTTCACTTTCTTCCACCTTGTCACAAGTACCTGGAGGGTGTCGTAAATATCGCTGGAAATGAACAGGTGCATGTCATCCAGATCCTGGAGGATGAAGCGCCTTCCTAAAGCACTGGTCTCATCCAGATGCAGAAGAAACTGTTTCATAGCAGGATCGCTGCATTCAGTACATAATCAGCAAAAATACATGACATGGATATTTACACATGCAATCTTGACATAAACAATGCCAGGACAGAACTGGAATATTCTTTCCCATAGATGTGACGTTTCTAAAAACCTTACAAGACAGAAGGGTACCATTAAATGCTCATTACCCAGACACACTCCTTTGGAAAATGTGGAAATGACATCATTTTTCCTTGTGGTGTAAACTGCCCTCACCTGAATTCCACCCACCATGACTGTGACACATTTGCTGTCGAGATAACCCAAACACTTGTGCTACAAACATCACACTCCAGGTTCGGGTAACAACGTTCAGAGTGCCAGGCTTAGATAGTTCCAAAACCATTTGATCTCTTATCCCAAATTTTGCTGACTTTGGATCTGTTTTGAAGCAAAATGACTAAAACCATCATGAATCCAGGTCATCACATCCATTGGACACCACTACCAGCAACCATGGTTGTCATCAGTGCCCAGAAGCTGAACCCACATGCAACTGGGACTCAAGCCTAAGCCCATCACATGAGAATCAAAGGTTGTAACCTAGAACATCACACTTTCTTCAGCTCTGAGTCTCCGGCTCATAATGCACAACACTAGCTCACAGAAAATCTTTTAGAAGAATAGTCAAACACCACTTTTAATTCACCACCACTTACCACTCAATCAGCATTCCCTTGAGAACATTGACCATTTCTGATCAGGACCCTTTCTGCAGAAAGCTGTGGAAACATGAACAATTAGTTATATCATAACAAGGAAGACAACAGAAAAAGGAGAAAACATGGCCCCAGTGTGGGAAAAACTTCCGTTTTCTGGTGGATGTGGCACCAGGAAATTTTGTACTCCAGGCTCTTGACTGGTAAGAATGACAATTTTTGTACTCCAGACAAACGCTGCAGTCGTCCCACAAAGCAGACACCATTGCAAATGTATGAGCCTGAGTATAAGTACCAAGGCAGACAGTTTTGCTTTCTTGATAGCCAGGAGGGTGCATGAACTTTGCTTTCATAAAGTGAGTTATAACTTTTATTTGATTTCCAGGGACCAAACATATGGAACACCAAGAAATGGAAACAAGCATTTGCAGTCCTGCAGGAGCTGGCCAATCCAGGGCGTTCATGTCAATGTCCTTCATCATTGTATTACATGGGTTAGATGCACTTGTGCAAGCCTATGCAACCCCTGAAGGGTGATGACAACTCATGTGAGTTACTTCTGTGGAAATGAAATAAACTGAAATATGAAATGTGCTTGCTGTAAGTACCTACCGCTGCCACATACATCACATGTCATTACCTGTGGGGAAAATATATGGCGCACCTGAGTAAGACCGCATTCTCCACGACGCACACACCTACCGTTACCTTTTCAAGAAACGGACAGACATATCACGGCTCTGGCTCCCACCACGCGGCGAACCCATCGCCTCCCGTACCCGAAACCAACGGCAGCCCAGCCTCCTGCAACTGACGAGTGCATTTTTGAGCAGTGGAGGTCCGTGTGGCAACAGACACCTACAATAATATTCGTTCGACCAGAAAACCACTAGCAGCACCAAAATCACCGATGACACATCTATTTCAACTAGATTATTCAAAGACTCGCAGAGCAAGGAGTCCAGGATGCCAACTATGCTCTTAACTTACCTCATATTGAGAAAACGTGTTAGCGATTTTACCAAATGACGTGCATCTTGCAAACGGTTTGGTGGGAAAATTCCAAAATATTGCAGCATTGCACATTCTTTTCAAAGCGCTTGTTTCATTCCCGCTCCTGCCATACCAACCACTAATCACCATCCGACTTGCAATTAAACCGAAAATCATAGCATTCAAACACACCACATATCGGCACTTTTAAAACAGAATCATGACATTAAATGGCATCCAAATATCACGTTTGTGAGCGACACTTTTAGTGGTAACGGCTCCTTTTGGGTTCTTAAATGTCATCGGAAATTACGTTCCCAAAATGGGAGTTTGTGGCATGCGGCATTCCAAAACTTATTACTATTGCATAAATGATAGTAGGCCAGCCACTTTTTCAGAAATCGGTAAATGCCGGTCTGAAGATTCAAGGATATCTTACTTATTTAACAACGGTATCACGTCTCCAGGCTCAACCAGTACCCATACTTGTAAGATCGAGATGGTCCATAACCCGGTGGGAAAAATCGCAGTACTTGGTTGCCCTTCTCACGATGGGGCCCATGGGGAGACCCGGGGAGAACAAGCCGGAGTACAAGCCGGAGAACAGCAAGTTTTTAGCAAAGTTAACCAAATTTAAGTGAAAAATTTACGTGTTTTGGTGTCGCCCAGACACGGGCCTTCCTCAGAGGGTGATGAAATGACATGATATGCCTTAGAATGAGAAATATCTATCGATTTGTAGTATAGGTACTGCATTATCTCGGCGTCGTCTTGCGCCACCAGAAGATAAGGTATATTTGTAGGTGGAAAATAACAACTTGAAATGCATGGCTGTAAAGCTCTATGATTTTTATACCACAAACTTAACAATTTGTGTTCGTGCAACTGCATAAATGGCTTTTCTTAGACTATTCATCACAGCCTGTCATTTCAGGACCGACTCGTGGTACTTGTACTTGGTTGGCCCATTGACGAGTGCTAGAATGCCATCACAATGTGAATGCGCCAGAACTCCTGCGCGTGGCTTGGTTGTTTGTCTTGATGTGGTGGGAGTGAGGGGGCCGGAGGGTGAGTGAAGCTGCTTGGGATTATGTGCATCGTAGTTGCGAGTTTGAGGTATTGAGTGAGGCAAGGTGGAATTGGTTGTCTTCGATTTTCACACAGCATGCATCCACACTTTTAAAGTTACTTGGGATTTAATTTCGGACCGCTATTAAGTCATTCTAAAAAAGGTAAATAAATACCGGGGGACTGATCTATAAATGTTAACCAATGCAGGCCAGTGCAGAACCACCTTGTTATAACCTGCTCTACCTACAGCATGGTGGGTAGGTACGTAGGTACTAAGGTATCTATATACAACATTAATGCTAGGCTTGGGTTTCCCATGTGGGATCAAATATGAGGCTGGCCTCTTTTCAGCCTGTGGTTATAATTGCTGTAACCTGACAGGTGGCAATGCTGCCATGTTCCTTGCTGTTAGGCATAAGGTCCTGCAGTGACACTATTAAAATTGTCCCTACATAGGATCATAGGGAACTTGGACAAGAGGAGAGGGATAACAGGAGGTGCAGGAAGAGAGGACGAGTAGAAGTGGAGGAGGAGTGGAAGGAGAAGGGTGACAGAAAGAGAAGGTGAGGAACTGAAAAAGGAGAAGAGCAGAAAGAGAAGGATAGGAAGAGGAACACTTTTGGTATGTTTATATTCATTATGTACAGGCCAAAAGGACTACATGTTAGTGATGTCACATGCATAAGGCTTTCATAGTCAGTTGCATCTGCCTAAGACTCATTAAAAAAACAGGGTGTGATGCACAGTGGTTGTCCACAGTTCAGTTTGTCAGTAAGCAGAGGATGCATCTGATTTATCATTTTGATATTGTGTAAGATTGCATGTAGATAGGTGATGATATGTAACTGGGCTTTGAATGATGCACCTGTGAATGCATATGTATAAAGTTTTGTTGCTAACCTCTCTATCTGTATATTTCTTATTGACATGTACCATTAATCAATCTTTGCATGTATAGGTGAGCTAGTAGTACTACAGGGATAGGGATGAGATCGGTGTGGCGCCCTCACTCACAAGAAGTGCTCTGTTCCACTTAAATTCAAAATTGTATGCTGACACTAATTTTTGCTAGAAAAAAACATTGGGAAAATGTTGACCCATTAAAGGCAGTATGTAATGTACTCCAAGCAAGGCCCCGTTGTGCAGACAGTCATTCCGCATTACACAGACCTTTGCTTGCAGACAAGTTTGTACTCAGACCACAAAAAATTTTGTACTCCGCCACCAGCAAAAAAAAAACTGAATTTCCCACCCTGCATGGCCCCCATACATTTTTTTATCCTGCTCTCATGGACTATGTTTTTAAACTGCCATAATATAGACTCCATACCTTTTTCATCACAATCCTTTCATGGGTATGCTTATGACATTGATTTCCAAGCAAAATGTGCCATGCTTCAGACACTTGATTTCAATTACTATTGCTCCCAATTACCAACTTATTTACTGATTCAATATGTAAGTGTAGGATGTAGTCTCCCTGCTAGCTGTTTTTGGTGTACACAACAAATGAGTGAGTTTGATAGAATGCAAACTATCAAAACTGAATGGGTCACTTCTGGCAATGTTATATCCATAAGTGTGTTTCAAAACAGGACAAAAGATGAAACAAAGCAGGCAGGACACAGCACTATAACTTGTAGATACTGGTGTTAAAAATATCTTAATCTATAAGGTGCAAAATTCATCCCATCACAATGTACTGAACACTAAAAAAGTTAATGGAGCATACAAGCTTTGAATCAACAACTTGTTTGGTATGGCTTTACAATCAATATCTGAGATTTGGTTTTGGCTATTGGGGGAGACAACAAAAATACTAAGATCATGGCCTGTAGTGAGAACAAAATAACCCAAGTGAATCTGCACTGTTTCCACAGCTGGCACTAAAAGGCATTCTTTGGCAGCAGATGACAGTAATATCCAGGCTCTAGTTGGTCTCAGTAATTGTCAAAGACCATCAGAAATTGGCTGCTTGCAGTTCTTAAATTTTCTAGCTTACTTAGTAAGTCTGATAGGAGGCTGTTGGTATCAATAATTATATTGTAAAGGTGTCAGTCCTAATAAAGACTGATAAAAGCAGACACGTAACATGTGGCGCACCTGTTGCACCATTCCACAGAGCACATACTGCTAAGTTTATGGTCAAAATGTCATGCAAGCCACCATATAAATACAAGCATCTGGGACATTATGGTAAGTGCAGAAAGTACATTCTAGCCAATGTTCAATTTTTCTCACCCAGAGGAAAATTTTTAGGGCAATGTGATACCCATCTAAGCTTTTACTGACCCAGACATACTCAATCCAGAAAAAAACAAGTGTGTAGTTCCCTATTTAGCTGAATAGGATGCTAACTCCTCCCCAACTTTGAGAAAACATTGATCAAAATCAGGGAGAACATGGTTTGTACCACTTGTTTATGATAAAAGACTCCTCTGCCCACCCGCTCCAAGATACGTACAAAGCTAAACCACCTGGGGCGTCAGGCTCCTGCGTGATTGGGGCTCGCAGATCAACGCAGCAGGGGCGGAGAAATTGTTTCCTCCTCACAGATCAATTCAGCCCCATAAATTTAGCATCAATACATCTTCTCACCGGCGTTGAATGTGATACAATACTTTTCTCAGTTTATGACACTGTTCTAAATTTACACATTACCTTTACGTACACCACCAACTAACCCCGCCACCACTGCCCCCAAACTTGCCCAAACTGCTGCTCCAAAACAAGGTCGGTAGGCTACATAAATGGCGCGCACGTAATAGAGGTCTTCAACGACATGCATATATTTTTCGTATATGAGTATCCTAGCAACCATTCTCAGCGGTGTTAGAAATAGTGCTGACCGAAATGGCCCAGCTATTGATGTTCTGGCAAATATATATATATATATATATATATAGAGAGAGAGAGAGAGAGAGAGAGAGAGAGAGAGAGAGAGAGAGAGAGAGAGAGAGAGAGAGAGAGAGAGAGAGAGAGAGAGAGAGAGAGAGAGAGAGAGA